TATCAACTATGGAGGAGAGTTGAGCCTCCAACTGAGCCTCCAGGAAAGACTCATTGCTCAATACTCAAGCAGCTTCAATTTATTGCCCCTCATCTATTCCATTAAGTTATCCGGGCATTTGTTCAAGTCTTACCCAACCCAGTTCTAATGGAGCAACAAGAGCTGGGCAAAATCCATATATTGGTGGTACCCCATTCCCAGTAGTTTCATATTAAACAGCATGGGGAACAATATGGAGCACCACCTTCTGGATCTGGTCAACAATGCGAAACCACTGAAGCATGGTGCCCACCAGTCCCAACCCAGCTAGCCTCTCCTTAAGTTTGATGGTATGGAAAGCAGCTGAGAGGTTCATGAGAATCAACAGGGACACACTCCTCCTATCACTCTCCTGCCATAGAACATCAGTCAGGGCAACCAAACCCAGGCCCCAATCTGAACTGAAATGGGTTTAGATATTCAGTTTCCTCTATATGAGGCTGCATAACCTCTACTTGGTTGAGTGCTTTGTCCATTAATAGAATGTTAGCCACTGGGGAGTAAGTATTTAGGTAATTTGGGTCCAGAGACACTTCAGGAATGGGGAGAGTTTCACAACTACTCCTCTGTGGTCAGACTCGGAACTAGACCCTCCTGAATTGTTTATTACCTCCTGGGCCTACTCAACCAATCCAACCCAGCTAGATATTATCAGCCACAAAGGGGGAGAGGTTAAGCCTAGACATGGTGGGGGGCACTTTTAAGCAGCTTGTCCACTTCATCAGTTCTCACCAAATGAATGCCATCCATGTTTATGATCAGACTGTGTCTCAACAGTATTCCAAGAGTGAACTGGAAGGCTTTTGGACAAGGGCTAAAGTAGTAGTTGTAAGAAACCCAGAATTGTTGCTGCTCTTTGACCCTTCCTTATAATGCCTGACAAAAATAGCACATGACATGACAACATTGTGCTGGGCACCTCCCCATCACATTGGCCAAAGATATTACATTACTTGACTTTTCAAGAAAGGAAAAGAGAAGGGACACTCAGTAGGCCAGCTGTTTCTCTCATAGTGTCTCTCTTGGCCCCTACACCCAGGTCAGCTCTTGCAAAAAAGCACTTTCATAACTATGTACAAGTAGGTCAGGTTTGCATCATGTTCCAAAAATCTCAGAGTTTGGCTCAGGACAATTTCCTACTAAGATCTAAGGAGTGTCACCACACTCCTTTCCTCTTTGCCCACTGGCTAGAACTAATTCATGGCAGGATTATGCACAAGCTATGGATGGCAGTGTACCTTAAGCAACAATATCACAGGCCATAGATTCCTGCCAATCAAATTTAAGCTTGTGAAGTCCCATCTCATCTGAGGGTTTAAATTGGATTAGTTATTTTTAAACCTCACAGAAGGGGCATTAAAATGTGCTTTTCAAGCAGCAGTCATAAGCAATTCCTGCCGCAGGGCATAGGCTGCTCTTTTCATAATTCTTCTCCATATCCCTTTCTCTTTAAATAACTCTGAGTGATGACACAGAATATCATATGCCAGGCCCAGCTCTTTCCAAAGTTTTGCTGATTGTTGACTTTAGAGAGAATTCAGATTTTTGTTTGGGGGGGGGGGGATTTGCTGTTCTCTCCCATTTCAGCTAGATTAAAAATAATAGAATGCATCGCTCCTCAGAGAGATCATTGGTGGAATGAGTTGCTCAGTAAGTTCAAGGTGGCATGCATTTCAACCACTCAAGAATTGTGGCAACGTCAAGCCATACCGATTCTTGTTTCATCTTTTAAGGCACTCTGTGGATCCTGGAAACAATCTTGACTGGACACAGGAGCTATTAACTTTAAAACACAGTATGGTCCAGCTCTCTTGTCAGCATTTGCTGCCGTTCAGTCAGGTTTCTGGGCAAGTTTTTGGAGGGCTTTTGTTGAACTATGCTTGTGTTTGGTCATTTCTGTCCATGAGGTAACCACGCCCTTGTAAAGTAAGAGAGCCATGAAACTTGGGGCATTTTGACAACATTGTACCAATCATGTTTGAAAATCCACACACCTCTTTCTGAAAATGGTAGCGAAAGTAAAGCTGTAAAATCAGTTCTTTGTAGCTATTTAAAATTGAGAAGTCTATAGATACAAGCTTATCTTCATCATTATTAATAAAAAACAACATATGTGTTAGCCAAATTGCTCTATTATTTAATAAAGATGGGGAATTATAATTATTACTATGCAATTGGTTTATCTATAGGATCTGATCTGTGTATACCAGAGAATTCCTAAGAACCCAGGAATAGACACGGAAACTGGGTGGCTAAAATAATGATTTCTTTACTAAACATTCTCAAGCATACAAACAATATTCAAACACTCACACACACACAATACACAACTAAGGAAGCAGAGGTGATTGATAGTTTATACAACCTGGTCCATAGATTGTGGCCTAAACTGAGAGCTTAGGGGTGGACTGCCATTTTGATTATGGCAGAAAACACACGGTCTGAGGCCATGTTTACGCTGGGATATACCCTATGGAAGACAATGCAGACCAATGGGCGGTCCTGGGGGCTGGTCTCAGGTGAGAACAATAGATTTCCTGGACCAATGATGAGTCCCAGGGGTGTGTGGCATCAGGATGGGCAAGGCCTAGATGTGACCAGTGAGCTTCCAGAGAGGCAGGGCCTGGATTTAACAATAGAAGCCAGGTGCTGGGTGGCTAGTTAAATGGATTATCTGACCACTAATGGTCCTGGCCAGGGTAAACAAAAGGTGGGAGACGTCCCTGATTAGCGTTCGGAAGGATCGTTAATAATTTGAATGTTTGATTGGTTTATCCCGGTATCTTGAGGGACAGAGCAGAAAAGACAAGTATTCAGACAAAGAATTAAATAGACTTTAGAAATGTAGATACTTTACCTGGTAGAACTCATTGTCATTCCATAAGCATAATCTCTGCTGGGTGGAGGGAGAAGACTGGAGGCTTGCTCTGAGGTTGCCTGTCACCTGAAAATGGAGACCCCTTTTTCAGAGCTGTGGCTAGCTCTGTGTTTCAGAACCAAGAGTGCCTTCCTTGGCCTGAGTTTTGTGGGTCTCTGGGTCAGGTTAGAAGTGGGGTGCCCTTGCTATTGGGGCTACCCAAGAGTAAAAGGCAGCACCTCTGGCAACATATGCCACCAGTATTCTTAGTATTAGTTCAGGCTGTTGGAAGGCAAATTCAGGTAGAGTTAATAGAGAAAACCCCCCAAAAAACAAATTCTGCTGGATGCCTACAGGGCCACCAGGCTTTTTATGAGATATGGCCAAATTCCAGTCAAGAGTTCTGGTCTGTACAAATAAACATACGAAGAAACCTGCTGGATGAGACCAAGAGTCCATCTAGTCCAGCATCCTGTCTCACACAGTGGCCAACCCGTTCCTCTGGAGGGTCAACCACAGCACAAAGAGGCCAAGGCCTTCCTCTGATGTTGCCTTCTGGCTCGTGGATTCAGAGGCTCAGTGCCTCTGAATGTGGAGGCTTCCCTTAGTCATCATGGCTAGTAGCCACTGATAGACCTATCCTCCATGAATCTATCTAATCCCTCTTTAAAGCTATTTATTTCTGTGGCCATTACATCCTGTGGCAGCGAATTCCACATCTTAATCACTCTGTGTAAAGTAGTATTTCTTTCCTATTGCTCATCAGTTTCATTGGATGCCCTCAAGTTCTAGCATTTTGGGAGAGGAAGAAAAAGTTCTCTGTCAACTCTCTCCCCCCCATACATAATTTTATAAACTGCTATCATGTCCCCCCTTAGTCATCTCCATTCTAAACCGGAAAGTCCCAGACTCTTCAGCCTTTCCTCATAGGGAGGGTGCTCCAACCCCCTAATCATCTTGGTTGCCCTCCTCTGCACTTTTTCCAGCTCTGCAATTTCCTCTTTGATATACGGTGACCAGACCTGTACACAGTATTCCAGATGAGGCCACACCATAGATCTATACAGCATTACAATATCGGTCATTTTATTCTCAAGCCCTTGCCCAATAACCCCTAACATAGAGTTTGCCTTTTTTCACCACTGCAGCACACTGCTATCCACTATGACCCCAAGATACTTTTCCCTCTCAATCTCAGCAAGTTCAGACTCCATTAGCCTATACTTGAATGCAGAAAACTTAGTATCCTCAATGACGACGACACTGCTCTCCATTTCAAGTTGATAACCCAGCATGATACACTCACCCTTTTTGAAGGGCAGGACAAGTATTCTTTTAATGACAACTTGACCAATTTGCAGAAAAAAAATATTTCAGGCAAGTTTGAATTTTTAAAAAAGCTATTCTCATTAAAACAAAGTATAGTTTCTTATAAATTATTGCTGTGTATTTTCCAATGTTTCCACTTTGCCTTTGGAGTTCTGAGCTCCCGTGGAACAGAATGTTCCTCTAATATTGAATGAGGGAGAGTATTTGTTACGCAAGCAAAAGCAGCTGAAACCTCATGCAAATACATGGATCAGTACCAACAGGGCTATATTTTGGAGGTCAAAGGTGTCATTCTTTACTCAAATTCACGCCCTGGAAAATTCAAGCGCAGCACTGAAAACGTGATTTAAGATGTGAATTCTCAAATTGCTCCTATCTTTTTTGAAAGAGAACTCAAGGTGGGTGTAAATAAGAGTTTGGCTTGAAAAGTATGTTGTGGTTTAGGCTGTAAGGAGTCTTGTTAAATAAGAAAAAGCAGACAAGGAACCTGGACCAAGAGACTTGGGAATAAATTAAACAGTAAACTATGAAAGGTTGTGACAGATTTTGCTGTATGTGTGCAGAATTTAAAGCAGAGACAAGTGGAAAGATACCACCTCTGGTTACATCTCCAAAACTCTTTTTATAATCAGCAAATGCAAAGTTGTGTTGGTTAAGGTATAACTGTGTGTCTTAGACAGCCGATTTTTTTTTATTTTAAATTTTCAAAGAAGTAAGGCTATACAAATGTCTTTATAGAACTATCAGGTTAAATGCACTCTTATCTGTTGGAAATGAAAGTTAACAATAAATAAATCATCTATGCTGTCAGTAACATTATGGAACGTATAAAATTATATTTTCCTTGCTTTTAAACAATAACAAAAACATACTAGTGGCATGAATATATACAACACAGGTCCTGACATATATTTAAATTACCTTAGCCAGCAGTGCTCAGAATTCTTTTTAAATGGAGACAACTATAATAAATAGAAACGTTAAATACTTACAATAAAAGAACATGTGGAATCAGTAGGTGAACACATACATCCAATTTTTACAGAGGAAAAAATAGGCCTTTTACAACCCCCCTCCATTACCTTTGCCCAAGCTAAAGGGGAAACATATTTACCTCTCTAGAATGAAGATAAATTATATGCATGCTGAGGTGATCTATTGATGCGAGATATTCAATGGGGTGTGTGTGTGTATTTGGTTCCCATATGATCTAATGAAAGACAAACTGGAGTAAAGTGAGAAAATGGGCCTGCTAGCAGGCCTTCTTAGGTTTTGCCTACATGTGACAGCATGGTGAAGTGTTCATGAATGACCCTCCAATCAGATAATTTTTAAAGGAGGGTTCAGGTTAGTAAGGTGACCATACATAGTTCCTCATCTGCGGTTGCTTCAATGGGAACAGCAGGATTATCACTTGGGATTCGATGATTTCCTTAGAAATAATGTAAAATTTCTTGGCTGGATTTTACAGTTCTGTTGTTCTCAGAGCCTTCTTTTATTAAGCTTTACCAAGAAAGAATGGCTTGCCATCATGTGATTCTTCTTTCCAAAGGTTCCCCAAGGCCTGTTCCATGTGTGCATTCCCAGAGTTTTACTGACATTAAACTGGTAGGGGGTTCACAAGGAGCCTCTGGACCGGGGCTTCAATCTATGAAACTGGATTTCTGCTAATGGGAAACTACTGCAGAAAATTTATATATACTTGCTTCTTCCCATTATCTGCTTCTTAGGATTTAAGACCTACTGCCATCCATCCTTTTCAGGTGCAGTGGCTGATGTCTGCAGCACCCTGAATTATCTCAGGAAATGATAAACAGATGCATTCAACAGTGAAAGGTGGAGTGTGTCATATTAACTCTGGATCACAGAGAGTGTAATCTAAAGCACTCTTACTGGAAGTAAATTTTTAAAAAGAAATAAATGTGTCTTTATTTTCAAGAAATTGTCTTTAGGACTGAATGTCAGGAAGACTCGCTTATTTCAGTTCACTAACCTGATTAAATAATTTGTAGTGTTTGGGCTACCAGTGTTACCATTTCTTTGGCACTTCAGGCAGGCTTGGAACACTGTCCCCCCCCTCCCACCAACCTCCATAGTCTTGATAACAAGTAGCCAGAAAAAAAAAGAGATTTTCATCAAGCCTCCAAAAAAGTACTGCATGTATAAACAAGTACTGGTGGAGCATCCATAACCCATATTTAGGAAACATGCTTCAGTCAGAAAGCCAGGTGGCATTTTGGTCTGCTGAAAAACAGGTTATGAAAACTAGGGCAGCTGAAAAGATCCAGTCACCATGTCCATAATTCGGTTATGTAATCACCTGATTTCCTGAGGAGACTGTAACAATAGGGAGAAAAGATTAGTGGTGATCCACACAAACCAACTAAAGGGACACTTAAGGCAGGTGGTATCACCCAGGCAGGAACAAATGGCTCAGAGATATTGTTTTAGTTTGAAACAGAAAGCTCTCCAATATAGAACTCCATTTTAGCAGCCACCTTGTGGCCTCAGACAGCAAAGAACTGATTATTTTCTGCCTAGAGACTAAATGCTGAACCTACTATAGACATCGAGCCAATAGTGGACAAATGACAATACAGACAAGTCCATCCTCTATCCCTGATAAACAAAGAAATAAACCACCACCACTCCCTGTGTCCAACCTCACGTTCTCCTTTGAAGGGATAAAATAATTTAAATGAAGACATTCTGTTGTACCTACAGACTGAATTTGCTGGATACAATCAATAACTAATAGCCATTGCTTTTCCTCTGTTGCTTAGAATACCTACACTGACACGGCCATATTTCCCACAATGCCTTGTGCCTGACACCACCCCTCTATATTGTAAATATTTTTGGAATGGCCCTAGATAAGAAGATGGACTCAATGGAGGAAGTTTCTGGTGGAGGAGGAAGGAAGGGCTGTATTCCTCCTTTCACCTTCGGATATCAGAGAACTCAGACAGTTCTTCAGCCTGTTCAATGATTCCATGAGCAATTTTGGGATTGTGACTCCCAGCTTTAGAGCGAGTGTGAGCATTCATTGGGAACCTGCCACCTCTTTCCCCTCTGGTGCTTCGGGAGTTCTCTCTGGGGTCAGATTCAGGGTGGACTATGATGTCCCCTTGGCTGGCAGGCAATCTGAAGATGTCATTTGGTTTCCTCTCGGGTTCCAGGGCAGAATCTCCATGTGGGACTGAAGTGCAGAAACTCAAGACAGAACACAGGCTACCCCAATTCTGTTCACACTGTGCCTGGACACTCTGTGTGATGGCTTCTCTGACCTCCTCTCCGCAAGTGAGCAGGATGTTCACTAAGTCGACATATGGTCTAAGGGAAAAATCAAAGAACAGAAGGTGGTTATGGAGGAACAACAAGTTATACACCAATATGTAAGCAAACTGTCATTTTACCTCAGGCCTGACAACTTGTGACTCACCAAAATGACTTCAGCACATCAGCCAAACATTATGGCCTTCAGGTTCTTGGAACGTCCTGCCTCTGCAGTCTCAGGCAAGCAGAAAAATAACGAAGTGTATCAAGGCCTCTATGGACACTCGTACCTGGCCTGTGGCTGCTTTTGGCCACCGATCACAATCTATGAAGGTTTGTTCAACCTTATATTCTCCTCCATTGCTCACATCAATGTAATTCTATTAAGATTATCACATTTGTTGGCCAGTGGTCAATAATGCAGATTTTGCTGGCGTATGGAGGGATTAGCTTCACCTTGCACTTGCAAAGCATGTGCATATATAGAGGTGTAAAAGTTACTTTTGCTGAAGATGTGGATACTTTTTGTGCTTTGTTAATTTCTTGCTTTGAAGTAGTGATTTTACTAATAGTACTGAGGGAATTTTGTCTCTGTTTAGTTCTAAATGCTGAGCCCACCCGTGCGAAGGGTAATGTAGCTGTGTTGCTTTGTCTCCTATACATGCTGACAGTCCTAGATCTGAAGTATACTTAGGGGTGGATTTTCCAATGGCAGAATGGAATTTCCTGCTTCCCCCCTTTCACTGCATCTCACTGATTTCCACAAAATGCTGTTCCTGAGGAATGGGAACCCTGAGGAGGATCTGCAGTAGGAAGGGGGTATCAGCATAAATTGCCACTTTAGTCTAGCTCCAGCCCCTAGTTATTTTTATAAGGCCCATTAATTGCTCTCATTGAAGAAAGCAGAACTGAAGTAACAAATGAAGCTGCCTTATACCAATGCAGAATTACTGGTCCATCTAGCACAGCACATTTGGCAGAAGCTTTTCAGGATCTCAGACAGAGGAAAAACTTCTCTTCTCCTTAAATTGGAGAAACCAGGGATTGAATCTGGGGTCTACTTTAGCCAAAATATGTGCTCTATTACTGACTTGTGACCATTTCCCATGGCTAAAAGTGTAGCTACATGTTAAAAGGAACATGGGGTGCCACAAAACATGGCAATCTGTGCAAAGTTTCCTTTTCCTTTTTGCTTCATTATATTGTTATACAGCACATATCCTTGTTTCCTTTCCACATCACTGGATGACAATGGCAGAAGAGGTAAATGCCCACACAACAACATCCGAATAATGATAATCTGTACCACACAATACAAAAGAGAAGAACCCAATGTGCAGTTTCACCCTGATATGGAACATAGTGGTTTGGCTAAGCGCTACACTAAATTGTAGATTTGTTAGGAACCACAATATGGGTTTTCTAGAAACATGATCAGATCACATTTAAGAAGTAAGAAGTATATCATTTTGACCACAGACTTAGAGACTTGACAAAATACCATCAGTGGGGAGGCAAAAAATTAGTGGTTTATTGCCTCATAGCACAGTTATTTTCAACTATGATGACTGGTATTAAGCCTAGTTAATTGGCACAAACTGTTAACATCTATTTGTGCTACGAGAACATTGTTGGTTCTAGAGACTTTTATTTATTTGTTAGGCTTATATCCCACCCTTCCACATGGGCTCAGGGCGGCTAACAAGAGGCAATTGCCATACATGACACTAAAACCAGATAAAACAATCAGATTACATTATACATTTAAAATCGGTGCTCATAACAATATGTCATCCAAGACGGGACTCCAATACAATGTTTCAGAGGATCTACTGTCTCTTCTTGATCAGTCTGCACTATGTCCGTTCTTCATTCTCAAGGCCAGTTCGCATCGCCAGAGATGGCAACGTGATGGTGGTACAGTGATGGTGGCGGCTCCTACTCAAAAGCCTGGCGGAAGAGCTCCGTCTTGCAGGCCCTGCGGAACTGCATAAGGTCCCGCAGGGCCCTGATCTCCTTCGGGAGCTCGTTTCACCAGATAGGAGCCACCACCGAAAAAGCCCTGGCCCTAGTCGCAGCATATTTGACATCTCTAGGGGCTGGGACAACCAGAAGATGTTTCGCCCCCAACCGTAGTGCCCTTGGGGGAACATATGGGGAAAGGCGATCCCTTAGGTAAGCTGGACCCTGGCCATATAGGGCTTTATAGGTAAGAACCAGCACTTTGAAGTGGACCCGGTACGCTATTGGCAGCCTTTCTCCTCTCTCTAGCAGTATTATAAACACTACCAAAAATTCACATGGAACTGAACTGAACAACACTAGTGACCTTTCTGAGTACACTGAGTCTTATGGAATACAGACTAGTAATTTTATAAGTATTGTTAAAAAAGTAATCATGTCCTCATCTGAAGGCCTTGGAAAAGGAAGAGCTGAGCTGCTGTTCTCATTTGCCACCTGGACAAGTCAGTTGAGGATCATATGAAAAAAGTCAGTTGAGGATCTTATTTCATTTTAAGGTGTGGGAATCATGAACAGCATTAAAAATAACTAATAAGCCACCTCTAACCCTAATAAAATTGCTGCAGTATTGATGGTGAAGAGTTACACCCCTACAATAATCTGGTTAGTGGTTGCAATTGTTATTTTTAACAATAAAAGGTGTGATGGAGATCCTTACACAGATATTTCATAATCTTGTCATGTCTGACCTTCAGATTCTCTGCTTTCTTTGAATAACAGATTCTGAGTATTGTCTCAAAATGCTTTTAGTTTTCATGTGAAACCATTTAGATGGCAACCAAAGATGTATATGTGCATCTCAAGTTTAACCTGCCAGTTTGACCCTATGCAAGTTTCCTCTGAAGTCATAGTTTGTTTAGGAGGGCTTCTCCTACAAATGCTTCCTTCATACACATCTATACACTATTGTACATCTGCACAGTTTGGTGCCAGTTTGGTGTAGTGGTTAAATGCGCGGACTCTAATCTGGGAGAACCGGGTTTGATTCCCCACTCCTCCACTTGCACCTGCTGATGTGACCTTGGGTCAGTCACAAGCTCTGGCACAGCTGTCCTTGAAAAAGAGCAGTTGGTGTCAGAGTTCTCTCAGCCCCACCCACCTCACAGGGTGTCTGTTGTGGGGAGGGAAAGGGAAAGGAGTTTGTAAGCCACTCTGAGACTCCAAGTGAAGGGCGGGGTATAAATCCAATCTCTTCTTCTTCTTCTTCACTAGCAAGGAATCTGGTATTGCTTTTGAGTCATGAAATTGCAAATTGTTGTATCATGCTGAGAATGTGGTGATAAGAAGCTCTATCATGAGTTGGACTTCTTCAGGCAATCCAATTCCTTGTATATCCCCTGGGGGGGACTCCAATCATTTACCACTCCTCCCCTCCAGGCTTTCAAAATTGTAGAGCCTGTGCTTACATGGCCGATATGCAACATACACAGTCCTGACTGTGGAAATATTTTGTTTGCTTGTAGATTAAAGAACTGCATTACCATCAATTAGCTAATCTTGGGCTTTTCACCAACGTTCAGTGCTTGGCTCTGAGATGAGGCTCAGAAAATGACTTCCTTGTGTTTCTGGGCTTAATATATATAACTGTAGCAAGCTCTGGGTCACAAGTGTTCCCAACGATGCATAAACCTGCACCTAGGAAACTGCATTAGTATTCTGTGACTATCCTAGAAATCAAACAAAGAAAGTTATGAGCCAAACCACTTCTTTGCTAGCCACCACTTAATTGGCCCTTGGAAAGCATCACTTCCAAAATTTGAAATCAGGGTAGGCTATGTGTCACATGCTATGGTACCTCAAATACACAGCACAGTACTATAGGTTGAAGGGTAGAATTCTACTACACTGGCGTGCCTTGACCATACAATTGTGGCTTGGGGAGATGACAGCTGGAAAATCTGGACTCATCAGCACTGACAACCTTGGTAATTGCTGTAGTGCATGCTTTGTGTGGGGAAAAAAGAGTCCTTTCTGCTGCCAATCACCTCCTCTCATCGTTAACCTTTTCCTCTTATTTATTAATGAAGACAAGTGATGCTAAATGTTAAGCAATCCTCTTCCCATGTGAAAGGAGACAGTTTCCTACAGAGCTGAAAGCTCTGCTGTATATGGATTCTTGTGAGAACATGTAATATGTACTTATGGTTAACTTGTACTCTGGTAATGATTTGATCTCATTCCTCAGGCTACAAACTCATCACTGGCTGGTTTGGGCCAGCCAGAACATCCCCCACACTTAAGCAAAGCATTGCACAACTGTCTAGATGTACTGTTATTTAATCCAAGGGCCTAAACAAAGGAGGAAGAGAAGGAATGCTTCCTCTCCTGTCTAGAAGAATAGTGGGAGAATTCTGAGAATCTAATGTTTGTTTTTTCTTTTAAGCATAGTACCTAGTTCTCACCACTACAGGCAAAATGCCCAGGGCTAGGATCTTCGCTAAAAACAATTTCCTGAGAAGAAGGAAGCTTGGAAGAAATCTGTATGCGGGCAATGGCCACTGCCTTCTTTTGAATGCATCTTAAAAATATCAAGCATATTTTCTAGTTACAGAAGAAGTGCAAGTTAAATGACCAATATTGAACTCTACATGGAGAACTTGGACAATGTTTTTCAAACTTTCTATTTTCACTAGGTTGCCAATTTCCAGGTGGGGGCCTGGTGATCTCCTAGGATAACTACTGATCTCCAGACAACAGAGAAAATGGCTGCTTTGGAGGGTGGACTCTGTGGCATTATACTCTGCTGAGCTCCCACCACCTCAACCCTGCCCTCTCCAGGCTACACCCCCAAAATTTCCAGGTATTTCCCAACCCAAACTGGCAACTCTAATTGGCCCTGATCTGGATGGTCTAGGCTAGCCCAATTTTGTAAGATCTCCAAAGATAAGCAGGGTCAGCCATCATTAGTACTTCGTGGGAGACCACCCAAGAAAAGTCCAGGGATGCTATGCAGAGGCAGGCAATGGCAAACCACCTCTGTTCATCTCTTGCCTTGAAAATCCTATGGGGCCACCTGCAACTGGACAACACTCTTTACGACTACCTTCAGAAAGCCCTTTTCCTGTCAACATCTGCTGAAGAACCCTTGTTCATGGAACTCCAGCCCACTACACGGGAATCTATGCACACAGCCTATGTGCAGCAGTGGCCAGGCATACTGAGCCTTACCGTTGTCCTGCTTGAACTGAGAACATGACTTATGCCCAACACTCACCTGTAGCTGCCCACCAGAACAAGAATGATGGACGTGGTGTCTTTTAAAGAAACTTTCCCACCACTACTGACTGAGAAGCACTGATGTTTGTCAGATGTTTACCTATCACCCATTTACAATTGTATTACAGTATGGATTTAATGACAGGAGCACAGAAGAATCTGAGACACATGGGGGTCAATCTGCTGACAGGACATATTTCTGACAGCACAAGCAGAGGGGGATTTTTGCCATTTCCCACTGTAATCCGCTCCCCTTTATGGGTATATTTTTAAACATTTCTGTCCTGCCTTATATTCTTGGACTAAAGGGGGTGCACAGTGTAGCAACCAAATTGCAAAGGCACTAATTAACTGAATTAGAGCAGATTAAAATATGCAGTTTATCCACTTAAAAGCATTTAGACTAACACAGCCCTCCACAGCCAACACAGGGAAAGCAAATTCATAGCCAGGTCTGCTGGAAAAGTTCACCCGTCCCCATTTTCCTTCCCACACTGCACCTGGGGGTCCACCGTCTCTCATAAGTAGCATTTTAGGCAGTTTAGTGGGCTGCAGTAAGAAAGGGGGAAGTGAGAAATTTCTCTTCTGACAGCAGACCTCCTCTTATGGTACTCTGGATGCAAACCATATTCCTTATCTCACTCAGCGTGAAACAGACTTGTGACACCAAAGCAGAATGAGACAAGAAACGTTTTGTGCCAGTCTGATCCATAGTCAAAACCTTTATCATACCTGGTGCTATGCCATCTGCCAGCAAAAAAAAGCCCGCCTGTTCTTAAATTAATTGAGTCATATCCTGTATGGCTGCAGCATGACATAGTCCAAAATTGGCTGATATTTTGCTCATGCACAAAACATTTGGAAATACATGTAAGGATGTGTCTGTTGCATTTGTGTTACCAACAGAGCAAGCCCTGTAGGCACTGCTGTCGTAAATATAATACAAATATTACAGAGCAGATGGCAGTAAGACTCTTCGTTTTCTGATGACATGTGGATGGAATTCCAAATGGAATAGGGCATTGTGTTGTTGTGCTATGTGTTTTTGAAAAGATAAGCCTTCATTTTAGAAATATCAAGTAACTGGATGGCTTTGGGAAGATTTTAGCATATGAGGTGATTTTCTCTGCCCTGTACTCAGCCCTGTGAGTAAGCTTTGGGTAGAAGAGTACCAATGTCTCCCCCAGCACATTGTCATAAACTGTATTACAAATGCCAGATGTTACAGTGAGGTTGCATATATGCAGACCAATGAGAAATATTAACATGCCACTTGCACTACTACAATCTGAAAGGTAAACTGAGCACTCATGAATCAGAGTTCTGGCTCTACTTCTGTATGAAGGGAATAACTTCACAGGCAAATGGCCTAATGCAAGAGGGTGGGGGCAGTTAGGAGCTCCCTGATAATGGGGGGGGGGGGCATCTCTTTCCTAGCAGTACCAGAACACCCATACATGGAATGTTCTCCAATACAGATGAAAATGGAGCAGCATCTACTTGCATACAACAGATTTCAAATTGTGCCCTCCAAACTGCCCTCTCCCATATTGATTTAGTGACTGATGTGCCTAATTGCTATACAATGTGATGAGTCTATCTTTTCAATACCAGAGCAAATTAATGCTTCCATGTCAGCCTCATCCCTAAGCAGTGCAAAGACCTAAATCAAATACTTAATCTCAGGACTAAAGGACAATCTGTGGGGTAGAACTGTCCTTTTACAGTTAATTTTAGTAAGCAGTAACAAATAGGCACAGTTCAGGGTACAGAAGCTGTCAAAATTACACTTCTTTTAAGTGTATCCTGCTCCTCCCGTTCCTAACTATGCATCCAATTTACTGTCCACGCAGTGTATAACACAATTATTCCAACGACAGCAATGAACCCTCTACCAACTTTGTTGTATATGTACTTTTATCTCTTATTACTTTAATTAGTTAAGAAAGGAGGTGAAGTTTTTGAGACGTTGTTTACTAAAGTTATAAAGAGATCTATTAACCAATATTTTCAGATAAGTAACACCAGGAACACCTGTCTCAAAAGTATTCATATTGACTCCTTTGTTACAGTTAACCAGGAATTGCATTTACGATGCTTGTAATCCTGGGCATAATGTGAAATTGTCTCTCAGAGTCAGGGCTATTGATACTTGTCCAAAAATACACTTTTACATAAACACAGCCAAACAGCTTAATCCATAGTCACATGGGAAGTCTGTAGGAACTTGACTCAGGACCACTTCACACATTACTTAGACCGCAGTACACAATAAACTTTACCGAATTCTGCCCTGCAGTGTGTGGGTCAATCACATTTACTTTCTTTTTCTGCCCTGAACATACAGCATGGAAATACATGATGGGATAAGCTTCCCTTACTGTATTTTGGTAGTGCACATAATGCGAAATTGGGAAATGAAACCATCTAAGGTAGTTGTAGATGTACCCTACCATAATGTGTGAAGTAGTACTCAAGTCCAAAGAGGTAAATCTAGATCTGGGAAAGGAAACCCTGGACAGGTTCAAGGCGGTGAGGTGGGAAGGCTGCTGGCAAACTTTCTGCAATGCCACTTACATTTGACATGGAGGAGTTATTAATGACTGGGAATGACAGCCCTTTAAGTCCTCTTTGCTCTGACCAACACATTATTTTACTTGTGCAGAGCCCAACCTATGACTTATTTACATGAACAAATTACACTAATGGTTTGGAAACAGCACCAGTGATATTTAGTCCCCACTAGCTCTATGTACATTTTCAGACCAACATGCTGAGGGAACC